ATTCTGAGTCGAAATTGCCAAAAGTTTGAAATGTTGAAATTTGTCGGATAGCAAACTGAAATGGGTTTGAACCCCCTCCCCCCCTAACTAGATTTATTTAGTTTTCTATCCGACATCGAACTTTTGATGCCTCCCCTAAGCAGTGTTCTCCCTAGCATTAAAGCAAGTGGGTGCAGCACCCACCTGAGATTTTGAAAATAGACTTGCACCCACCTGAAAATTTATTTGCACCCACTTGAAAGTGACAAAAATTATGAAAAATGGCCATATTTCGACCAATTTTGGTCTGATTTGTGAAAATGAGTATTTTGCACCCACTTGAGAAAATATCCTTTGGAGATCACTTGTAAGTGTTTGGACTTATTATGGTGTTCATATCTTCATTGCAATGAATTGGTATTGGTGAGAATTGGTTAAAAATGTACCTTTCAGTAGAATGTAGCTTGCAATACCCCAACCCTCAAGTAGAATTGGGGGAGGGGTGGAGTAGTTTGTAAGACCTGATGTAAAGACTTCATACAAGCTGGTCAATAGGACCAGTTGTAACAGCGTTTTTACACAAATATTTCTCAACCAGTTTCTTGAAATAACCATGTTTGTGTCCAACTTTCATGACTTGATATTACAATAGCAATATCGTGAAATATTGGATTTTTTGAAATTTAATTCACGTTATTTCATATAATCCATTAGATAGTCTATGTGGTTACTTAACTATTTTCAGTTCGTCTGCTACCAACTTATCTGGTCACTCCCAATATGAGCCACCTACCTCCAAAGATGTATTAATGAAGGCCACCAAGATAGGAGGAAGGAAGCCCACTAAGATGGTAGAAACATTCCAAGGTGATAAGTACGCAAAGAAGGATGCCCCCATGGTGCTACAGTCTGTTGTCAAGGCAACGAAAGCTTGGTCAAATAAAAGCAATCAGATGCATCATAAGATCAAAGTGGATTTCCAGGTAAAATATGGATTTTATTATTGATGAGAGATTAATATTTCTTGAGGTATGAAACATGAGTCACTGTTAGAAGGATTAAATGTTTGTTTTATTCTGCAGATAATGAAGATATGTGGCCAATATATTCTGCGCACTGTGTTGAACAAATACTTTAAGAAATGTTTAGACATTATGGGTGTAACAATTGTATAGAAAATTGTTAAGAATGTGTAGAAGAATTGTATTGGTTGCTTGCATTGTAGGAAGACTATGACATAGATACAGCCTGGCGTCGTGGCCTCAGTCTCATCTCATCTACACCATTCTGTGTGCGCACTGTGTGTTTCTTATGTGCCAGTGCAGGCCAGCATCAGCTTGTCTACTGTAATGTCTGCTGTGAACCATTCCATACTTTCTGCCTGGAGGACCATGAGAAACCTAAGAAAGGCAACCTGGAGAACTGGTGCTGTAGAAGATGCCAGTGTTGTAATGTCTGTGGCAAGCCTAATAAGGTATGTTGTAATGTCTGTTGACAAGATATGTTGTAGTGTCTATTGGCAGCCTAACAAGGTATGTTGTAGTGTGTGGCAAGCCTCATAAAGTATGTTGTAATGTCTGTGGCAAGCCAAATAGGATATGTTGTAATGTCTGTCGCAAGAGCAAAAATAAGTTTAATTGGGTTATCAAGGCTTGTAATCATCTATCTTTGTTTGTTTATAACAACAATTGTTATTTTACATCTTTGGAAAATATTGCCCTCATTAATAAATATTTAAGTACATGCTCTTTTATGTTTCAGCTCCTTGAGTGTGACAAGTGTAAAGACACCTACCATGCAGAGTGCTTAGGTCCATGCTACCCTACAAAACCATCCAAAAACAAAAATATTTGGGTAAGATTCTATTTAATTTAGACATCTAGCTACTATCTTTCCCTTATTCTTGTTTCTGACATTTAATATAGCTCTTCATATTTTACCTAGCTATTTGAAATGTAATATATTTAGATATATTCAATTGCATTGTATTGCAAAGTAAATAAAAAAGAATGAAACATCATAAATTCACTGTGCAATGATAAACAAGAAATGTTTTTTAAACTTATTGATCAACCCTCGTATATTTATAGGTGTGTACTAAATGTGTAAGATGCAAGAGCTGTGGGGCAACTACACCTGGTAAAACCTATGGTGCCACCTGGATGTATGACTTCTCTCTCTGCTTCGAGTGTGGTCAACTCATGGACAAAGGTTGGCATATTTGATTGTGAACTCTTTGAAAATATTATAATGCTTCAGAAAATCTAAACTTGTACAAATTCCTTTGAAGTATCAACAAAAGGTAGATGTGTTTTTTGTCATAAAATGAACTTTCAATTACATGTTCGTGTTTGAATATCAATTTGTGATTTTACATCAACTGGTTTTAACTGTTCTTGTTTCCTTTTCTGAAATGTATTTCGCTTATTATTGGTGCTGCCTTTGACTTGTTTTGCTGTGCATTATTTATCTACTTTCACTCGTATATGTTTGATCACATTACTTTTTACTTCTAGGTAACTTTTGCCCATTGTGCCATAAGTGTTACTCTGATGATGATTGGGACTGTAAGATGGTCCAGTGTGCCAGGTGTGATAGCTGGGTACATGCAAAGTGCGAGAACTTATCAGGTAATATTACTTAAGTTTTTTGGCTCCTGTGGGGATTCACCATGTGAGTCCACTGAAAAGGGACATTGTTATCATCATTCTGTAGATGCTTTGAAGTCTGTATGAGTACCTGTAGAAGATAGGTAAAATTGTCCTATTTATCACACCTAATTCTCAACAATTACAAATTTTTGTCCATAATGACTGATATGTACAAAAAAATATCGAAAAACAATGGGAACTTTTTTGTGCAATAATAAGGGCAACCCATACAAGGATCACTTCCCCTAATCTATTCTTGAGGACCTTCGATAAATCTTCTTCATCAAGTCATAAAAAGATTACATCCCCCATTTTGCTTTACATTCATCTTTGGTGATTGTGTATTCCAGATGAGATGTACCAGATGATGTCCTACCTACCTGAGGAGATTCCTTACATCTGTACAGCCTGTGTGCCTGAAAAGCCAGCCAAGTGGGAGGTTGCCCTCCGTCAGGAGATGATAGCAGGGTGCACCTATGTTCTCACCACACTACTCAACTCTAGGTGTGCCCAACATCTAGTGCACATTACTGAGGTAAGATCAGATTCAGGTATTTTAGTGGTTGGATATTATTACAATGGTATTGTTTCAATGGTTGATCATGATATTGTTTCAATGGTTGAATGTGGTTTCAGTGGTATCATGATTTTTATTTCAGTTGTTGCAGATGTAAAAGAATTTATAAAATAGAATATAGTAGTAGGCTATATACATTATGTCAGCACCACAAGTGGTGGCATATTGTTATAATCTCCAACTTTTTTGACAGTGTTCAGCGGTTGGTGTTTAGCGTGTGTAACAAATGGCAGGTGGTAACATTTTGCATGTTAATGCCTTGTTTTATACTCTTCCAGGAGCAGAAATCAAAATTAAAGTGCAATAAAACTAAATCAGAGCCCGGTGACATTAAATCAACAATAGAGAATACATCTAAAAAGAAAGAACATGCGGTTGGTGTGAGGAGGAGTAGCAGATTCACAAGTGATGAGAAGCAAGAGGTCAAGGACACTCATGTGTCAAAGGTCAACTTAACTGGGTCAGAGGTCAGTGCCAAACCTGAGGATATTGAAGTCAATGTCACTTCTGATTCTGAAAATGAAAACATTGCAGTAACGGAAGAAAAGGGAGCTGTGGAAAATGCTAACACATCAGAAAAAGCAGTCAAGGTTGATAATAATGAACATCAAAATGAATTGGATGGTGAAGATGCATCTGCTATATCTACTTCACATTTGAGTAATAATCAAACTTCACAATCGGAATCTCAAAATACATTGAACATTGAAACTGAAGACACAAATGACCAATCAGAATTTGCGAAACCAAGTGACAGTGTTTCCAAAGATATAGTATCAAAACAGTTGGAGGAGGATATATCAAATTTTTCAGATACTCAGGAATTAAAAGAAAAAAATAATGAAAATTTGGAAACTCAAAGGGAACCAATGGAGGTTGATCAGTTAGGTACCACATGTACTAATGAGGATAGTCATTTTGGTACCGATGAAATTAATGCCATGCATGATATTGGTGATGTTGCCATGGAAACTAGCGGTGCTGAAGGAAAATCAGATCAAGAGTTCAGATGTGACACTGAAGATAAATCAAAGGATGAATCAAATAGTGATGATATCAGTAAAATTGAAACTAATGAAATGCTGAATAATGATACAGATGATGGAACTAATCTTGCTGATTTATCGTTTGAAGTCCCTATGGATATTATCAAAGAAACTCTTGGTGATTTGACTGATTCTGTAATCGAGGCAGTGCTACAGTCAGAAGATGGTGGGGTGGAGGTTGTGGTTGACAACATCCCTGGGGAAGATGGAGACCCCACTGGGGGTGAGAATGGAGAACAGGTGATTGTAGTGCCTGACAATGCTGTAGTTGATACCCTTCCAGATGGTACCACTGTTGTAGTGCTCCCTGGTGACAATGAGGACAGTGAGACTACAGACAATGTGATCAAAGATACTCTTGCAGACACAGAAATATTGGATTCTGAGTCTGGTGTTCAAACAACAAACAATCATGTTGCCATGGCACCAGACACTAGAGATCCCACAACACCTGAGAAACAAGTCATTCGAAGTACATTCTTACCACCGCCACCTCAAAAAGAACACCCTTCTGATTTTAACAGTGTCAAGTCCAAACTTATCAATAACCAATACAAGCTGGTAGAGGATTTCGCAGATGACTTGGTGTTTATAATACAAGATGCTTTGAAAACTGAAGAAACTGCAACAAAGAAGAAATTCAATAATGCAGTTCGAAGTATCTTCACAAAGGAGATGGCTAAATGTTTTCCCTGGTTTAATGTAAATACAGAGCAACTATGGCAACAGAATAAGAATTACCCAAGTGATATGCTCCCTGAGGCGGTGCTGCCCCCTAGTGAGGACCACACATACGCTCAGTGGCTCTCTAGGAATAAATCGCCACACTCTCCCCACCCCTCGCCCTTTAAGAGGGTAAAGAACACGCCTGTGAAGTGGGAGTTCTCCACAGATAGTGATACGCCAGTGCCAGCAGGTAACAGAGAGGATGTACGCAAATGTAACTTGTGTGGGGAGTATGGTGATGCAATGCCAAATGTAAGTAACAATTCCACATATGTCCACACTTATTTCAAAAATGAAGTTCAAAGTTACTTTGAGGTATATTATTAATCTCTTTATCTCGCTGCCCTTGGATACATTTTAATTCCTGGATGAATATTATCAATGTTTGTTCTGTCAAACTAATTTTAAGAACTTTCAGACCAGCTCCTGTTGATTGTTCAAATAGCTAATTCTCAACCAACCATATTATTTACCACTCCTCTCCAGGATGCAGGCAGGCTGCTGTACATGGGTGGGGATGATTGGACCCATACTAACTGTGCCCTATGGTCAGCTGAGGTGTATGAGGAGGTGGATGGTTCTCTGCAGCAGGTTTACATGGCCATTGCCAGAGGCAAGAAACTTGTAAGTACATACTCCACATTCATATGTCATGTCTTGAATGAGGGAGTCTTTTGGAAAAATTGGCTAAATTTTAATGCATTGAAAAATTACAATTTTTGAAAAAATCATTAATAGTGAATTTTAACTTCAGTCATGCAAAGTTAATCCATTCTATATAAAAAATAAATTATGCTTTGTTCAACTGTTTATTAAATTAAATGTCCACTTTATATTCCAGAGATGTGCCTATTGTGACAAAAGTGGTGCCACTGTTGGTTGTTGTGCCGCTGGATGTAAGGCCAACTACCACTTTATGTGTGCTAGGAAAGCTGGCTGTATATTCTTAGAGGATAAGAAAGTATTCTGTAAAGATGACACCTCATTGGTTGATGGACAGGTTAGATATGCTCAATGTTCTAATAAGAGTTTACCTCCAAAAATAGAAAAAAGGGTTGTTGAAAATTGTTGAACAATAAATCATAATGATTTAATGAATTATCTTGACCCAGTCAAGAATTTTAAAAATTAAGATATTTTGATCAGTTTTGGATAAGAATTTGACACTTTATTTAGAAAAATCGGAAGGAAATCACTTAATTAGTTTTATAAAATGTTGATCAGAAATTCTGATTTAATTCACTTGTGTTTTAATCTAAAGCTTTGATGAGAAGAATATATTACATTATGGCAATACTTTTTTCAGACAATTGTAAATGGCAGATTCAAAGTGATGCGTAGAGTGTGTATAGACATGAGCACAGGTTTCCTGAACAAACCAAAGAGCTATATGAAACAAGGCCTTGCTGCCCAACTTGTCAATTTAATAGCTGGTAAGTACTAAGAGTTGTGAATTATCTCACTAAATATGTAAATTCTGAATTATTTATAAGATGATGATGAAGTCGCATTTGTTGAGAATACCTATGTGTTAAAGGGCCAACCTACTCTTGTTGTTACTCTGACACGTTCCGACTAGGACTTGAAGAGTATTGTTGTTCAAAAAATGCACTGTTAAAACCTAGCTATTTGATTTATTTTCATTTGATGAAAGTTCAAGAAACAAATATGACATTCACATAAAATGTATGAATATTGTACTGTCAGGTATGAATGAATATTGTATTGTGTTTTACTCTATTTTGTTTGATTATGATTGTAGGCTCAATGACGATAGAATGTCTTGGTACACTGACTCCATCCTCTGATTGCAAACGCTCATTGTACCCTGTTGATTTCAGGTAAGTCATAAAACATAACACTTTTAATAACACACTGGGCTTTCTGCACAATAGACTAGATGCGGGTAGAAATGATCTTGATTTACGTCATTAAATATTCAAAATTTAGTCAAAGTGATGTCATATTTGAAATATACATCTAAAAATACATCAAAAAATATGGTTTTGAAAATTGTTTATCAACTTTGAAAATTTAATCTTTTTTGAAAATGTGACTTCTAGTTCGGGTTGATTCCCCATAGACCCCATATTAAAAAATCACAAAAAGTGAAATATCTTTTCTTGTATTGGACATATAATATAACATTTTCTTTTACTGGACATACTTTGATTTGCATAACTATTCGATACATAAGGGCTATATGAAAATTGAACCACTAAAACAGATGTAATTTAAGTTAAAGAGAACTTTCTACTATACCCGCCATGCTATCTGACCCGAACGAGCCACTTGGTGGTGAAACTGGTAACTACCTACTCGCATTTGCGTTATTCTTTACTCATTAGGGAGTTTAAGCCTGCATATAAAATCGAAACGCCAACCTATACATATGACTAATTGCCCATACAAATGCATTGCTTAAATAACTTACGTTCGCTTTTAGGTTGTGGTAGTGGTACAGTGGTATCTTAAACTCTCTATTAAGTTACTAACTCCTCGTCTGAACCTTTTCACTGGATTTGCACTATGGATTGTTTTAAATTCTAGTCATTGCTCATCTGGATAACACTAATTTTGCCAGCATTCTCAATGGTTATTGTTAAAATTCTAATAAATTCAGTTGATTAATGACATTTCTTTAAATTCAGTTTTAGCCTAATCAGCTCATTTCATAATTTAATTTTTATAACAATCATATGAAAAAATTGTCACATTTCTTTATTTTTAGCTGTAGCCGTGTCTTCTGGAGCACGAAAGATGCAAGGCGTAGGGCGGTATACACGTGTAAGATAATTGAAGTGAAACCTGACAGTCCATCTACACCTGAGTTCTTTTCTGGTGACCACCAAACCATAGTACACGATGATAATGAAGAAGTGATTGATGACATGCCAGCACCAATTTTAAAACTGGGTGACATTCAACGTAGTGTTAGCATAGGGGAGGATGACATTTTGAAAAATGAAGAGGATGCTGAGAATGAAGTTCTGAATTGTGACCCCACAAATGATCTTACAACCGACTTGATGAATGCCCCTAGCCAGAGCTATCCCATGTATGAGCCATTCAAGAGATTTAAACGAGCTAAGAGTATGGATCCAGCGATTGAGGAAAGGGTGATTTCCCAATCTTGGGGTGGTAGATCTAATATAAAACCCACCAAGCCTTCTCCATATTTAGATCTTACTGGGCTATCTCCCAAGACCCTGAAACAATTAAATCTTGTAGATGCAATCAAGACAATTAAGAATGAGGTCCACTCAAGCCCTGAAAAAGTTAACACCCTAATGCGAGTAGCAGAGACCCTGAATGTAGCTGCGGTTAGGAATCAAATTCATACCACAGATATATTGAACATTAGGAGGCAATCTAGGGATGGCAGTGTTGGGAGGCAATCTATGGATGGCAGTGTTGGGAGGCAATCTATGGATGGCAGTGTTGGGAGGCAATCTATGGATGGCAGTGTTGGGAGGCAATCTAGAGAGGGCAGTGTAGATAACGCAGCTTTGTCGATCAGGGAGAGCAGTGTTGAAAATAATGAGATAAATTCAAATATGGCAGTGGATGAAGCTTTTGACGATGAACTGAAATCAATGTATGATAAAATTGTCCAAGATGCGAAAAAAATCCAAGAACCAGTCCAAGATCACAACCCTTTAGAAAATCATGATCAGAAATCTGGAGCAGTTGATGATCATCAACCAGACAAAGTCAAACAAGATGGATATCAAAACTTTTTTAAAAAATTCTGCCAAGGAAAAGAAAGTTCTGCCGATGAAGCTATGGAAGTAGATATTGATGAGAACATTATTAACAAAAATCCCTCAACATGCAAAGATCTTTCAATACAACCAGATTCAAATGAAACGCCAATGCAGGAACTGAAAGATGTCAGCGAATGTATATCTGATAAATCAACACATGATAAACTTGTGAATAATGATGTAAAGCTATTAACTGAGTCAGTTGAACTGAATGGAATTGATGTAGACAGTGCCATAGAGGATGGCCCAATTGGCCAGTATGATGGCTGTGATGATGACAAGCCAAAGAATACAAAAGCTCAAGATAAGGCATCAGTAAAAGTTGACAACTCTAGTGCTATTCCCCCTTGCATTGTAATTGACACTGACGATGAGGATTCCATACCCAACAAGAAAGCTAAACTTGTCAATGGTGAAACGTTGAAATCATTGAAAAAAGAAACAGGGATTAAGCATCAATTAAATGTTGCTCACAAGGAAGGACTTACACCAATATTCAATTCAGATGGGATCTTGATTGGTCACAAGATGAACCCTGCAGCTAGTAATAATCAAATCTTCAGCAAGAAACGAATCATTTCAAAACCTTCATCCCCTACACCATTGAATCTGAAAAACCGCATCACCATATCCAAAAATTTCACCCAGGGAGCAGCTGACTCTGCTAAAGCTGTTAAACAACCATTTAGGAGTAGTACACCAACACATGAACAAAACCACAAATCTCCTAACAGCAAGCAGAATGATGGCAGTCCAGAGAACCGTAACCTCTTTGAAGCATTTTGCATGACTCCAACGAAGGAAAATATTGAGAGAAAGGAGAAGACGGGGAATGAAATTCTTGCCGTAATGAGATCAAATCGTTCATCCCGGTCATCTTCCACTGATGATGAATCCAAGAAGACGTACCCACTACGACGTACTGCTAGACGTAGATCTGATGATGCTCAAGCTAGACAATCTGCAAAGGCACAAATGCAGGATTTAACCAAACAGTCCAAGAATAGCCTAAATGGATTAATTCCACAGGAGAACAATCAGAACAGCCAACAACATTCAAAAACCAGAGGAAGGTCAAATACTGGCGTTGATGGCCCAATTAGTGATTCTAGCAGTGATATCGAGAAAACATTGCCATCTATCCAAGAAGCTGAATATCCATCAAATGATATGTCTCCTGAAGATGCCGAGGACACAGTCATCAAAGAGAAAGATACAGAATCAAAACTGGAATCTACTGAAAATGTGAAAGTATCTAGAAAGTGGATTGAAAAGAGCCTGCCAAGTGTAACTAATATATCTGTTGAGAATGTGCCATCTCCTAAAGTGCAGTCTCCACAAAGATTAGCAGATTCTGAGAGAACAGTTGAGACTACAGTCCAGTTGGCTCAGACGAAGGCTACCATTATGAAGACAATCAAAGGTCGCTCAGAGAGCCCATTAACAGTCAATACACACATGAACTTCCCTAAGGCTAAAGTTGTGATTGAGAAACTAAGCCCTGCTCAGGTGAGACGGCTGTCACAGCAGCCTGAGAAAAGTCCACCATTACATGATAAAATTGCAAGGAAAATTACAGAGGAAAGCATGTCGAAAAGTTTAAGTCTGGGAGGACCTTTCAAATGTCCAACTTGCAAGAGGAAGTATCGCACTCCAGCAAGTTTGTTGAAACATGCAGAGCAATGTGACTTTAATGTTAGTTCCAGTGATGAAGATGAAGAAGTGGAAGATGAAGCTGGCTCAATAAGTGATGAACCAGAACCAAAGAAAGTTGAAACAGAAAAAGATCTTACTCCGCTTACTCGACACTCCAAACGCAGACCTAAACCTGTCACCATGTTAGATTATGATCAGACTATGGAGTCCCAGAGTAGCGAGGAGGATCTAGAGCCCACTGAACATGTGATTATACGTAAAGATTCTCCAAAGGCGAGTCGCATAGACCATGAGATGTTAGAAATAGCCCAGGGCAATGGTGATGATGAGGATGGTGACTGGATGCCAACAGCATCTGAGCAGCAGAAACTGGGATTTAAACGAGTCAAGAATTTACAACGTACCCCTACACCATCAGAAACTGAAGACAGTGAAATAACTGATTTTACAGATTATGCTAGCGATCCAATGGAAGAAGAGGAAGCGGCTGCAGAACCTGTTCCTGATCTTAAGAAAAAAGCTATTTTAGAGATGGTACAAAGGCGGCAACTTGTTGAGAAAAAGCGAATTGAAATACCATCAACTGTGACATACAGTGACATAAGTGTTTCCAAAAATCTGATTTCAATAAATCCTAACAAGGTACATAGTTCTGTAAGTAGAGCGTCAACTCATCCATCCATTTTAAGACCAGCAATAAGTAATGGAGCAACAGTCCGAGAAGTTGCTGGTAAAGTGATAACAATCAAAAGAGGAACCAGTGGAGCAGCAACAATAGCAGTGACTAGTGCATCAACAACAATTTCAGGTGTGACTAGTGGAGCAACATCAATCCCAGGCATAACTAGTGGAGCAACAACAATCCCAGGCTTGACTAGTGGAGCAACATCTTCAGCAGTTATATCTCAAGCTTCTTCAACACTTGGTGTTGCCATGTCAGCAAGTGCCCGTCTTCAACAATTACAGATGATGTCAAATCTAAACCAAGAGGCACAAAATAATCCACAAAGCACCATATCTCCTGTGAGGCTTGATACATCAACTGGTATGATGGCCAACTCCTTGCAACCTGTAAATGCTCAAGTTGTAAACTCTCAGATTGCATCCCCACCCATATATCCAAACACACAAATCACCCCACAAACGTTGGTACAATGTTCACAAATTCAGCCTCAAGCTCAGTATCAGAACCCAATGATTGCAACCCAATCTATTATCGCAAGTCCCCAAATTCAGACATCAGTCATACCAACAATGCAGATCCCGACACCTCAGATACAGATGATGCAGCAGATGCCCCCAACACTCAATGTCCAATCTGTGTTTGTTGATCAGAAAGGAACAAGATATTTGACTGTGAAGGGACCACCTGGGGTTAATCCATTGCAGTATCAATTAGCTGCATCAAATTCTGTATTAATGCCCACTGTTCAGAGTGTTCCCATATCCCCTGTTCATGTAATAGGGCAAAATTATAGCCCACCTAGACAGAAAAGCCCTCGTCTTCTCCCAAATGCTCATTTAGAGACATCCCCACTACGTCACAATCTGGCACAGAAGTCTGGCGGACAGGTGTTTAAGGTGGAGCACCCTGTCAGCAATGTACAACAGCAAACTAACTCTGATATGCTAAAGTTTGTCAACAATGCCAACAAAGTTAACCCCAATATTATACGAGTTATCCAGAAAGTACCTTCCAACACACAAGTCAACAAGGGAAGGAATACACCAACTGGAGAGGTGTCAGTTTTATCTGCTAGCACAGACACTGCTGGGACGATGTATATAAATGAAACTCCACCGTCTGTATGTGGGAGAACCACACCTGGGTCAGGATCCTCCATCTCAACAGAATCATGTAATACTGATACAGCATCTGAAAATAACTCTGTGGATATGGCAGCACAGAGAGATGACTCAGCAAATGAAGTACAAGGTAGTGCAACATATGTGCCAAACAGTGAAACTGGCAAAGCTGAGCCAAAAGTTGTAAAATTGATGGTTAAAAAGGCAGATCAAATGGGTAAAGCTGGGTTTGTAGTCTGTACATCAATGGATGGGACAAGTCGTTTCAAAGAATCTGGAATGTCGACCAAACAGAATTCCTTTACAGATAATATTGATGGAGACTATAGTAATATTCAAGGTAGATTGACCCCTAAGTCTGACTCATTAACACCGGGGCATTTAAATCATGGTTTAGAGAGTTTGACCCCAGCGTCTGGCAGGTTGACACCAGGATCTGGCAGATTGACACCAGGATCAGCAGGCAGGTTGACACCAGGGTCTGGAAACATGACACCTGAAATGACAGTTTCTCCATTTGATAGTCACATGGGTAACTCCAACCATATGAGTGGTGATTCTAGCCCTACCCCTGGAATTCTTAAAAGAAGCAGAGAAGGCACACCCACCGATTCGAACCCTGTGCTCTCTAACTACCTTCAAAATACTAAACAGCTTCTGTACAGTAAAATCCTTCGTAAGAATCAGAGGCAAGAGTCAAATAATTATCAGTCGCTTCTCCCGTTAACCCATCAGAAAACACTTCAGGAACAACAACAGGAGAAATCAGCTATAAAAATAATTAAAAGGATTGGTTCTGATCTCGAACCAACTGTTGTCTCAATGCCCATGACACACACACAAAAACTTAATTACGCTGTTAATCAGTCCAAAAACATTTACAACACAAACAAACAAGCTTTACAACACCATGGTTACAATCTTGGCATACAACAACATGGCCAACCAAATAAGGTGTATCCTCGATTTGATGCTGACCAGCATAACTATTCTAGTCAAAACGTATACAAGATTAAGAAGAATAAATTGGAGAAAAAACACAAGAAGCCAAAACCAGCTAATAAAATCCAAGTGTTTATGGATGCAAATGGTGTGGAGCATAAATTTATGCAAAAAAAGAAAAAAGGTCGACCAAAGTTGGGCCAAGGTCTTCATGACCTCGTAAGAATGAACCAAGTGAGGAAAAAGGCTGATGCTCTGAGAGAGTCCAACATTAGCCATGGAATTAGTAAGTTTTCTGTTGAAATATTTATTTATCACTCTATAACATAATAGAGCTTCTTCAATCGCCAAAAGTTAAAGCAATGGGTTTACTCTTATATTTTAGTTTCACAGTTTGACAGCGGAATAGTTCATATAAATTGGTATCTATATCTGTATTTCATACTGATTGAATCCTACCATCTTCTGTCATTTCATCCCTGTTAAGCTTATTGAATTGGAATCTTTATTTCTATTATGTCACCACCCCAAGTGTTGACATACTGTTAATAGTGTCCACCTTTTTTGTGGGAGGTGTTCTGCTGTTGGTGTTCAGCTGTCGGCGTCTAACATATGGTAGGTTGTGACATTTGGATATTAATGCCTTGTTAATCCCGAGTTAATCTAGTTGTCAGCATTGTATAAATAAACAAATAAAATATATTATTTGTAGATGGGCCCCACACTAGCCAACCAAAGATGATCAGTCCCCCAACTAGCTTACCCCCAGCAGCAACAGAAGAGGAAGTGACGGAATCCCCCTTGTATACCATATTTGAACATGAGGAAAAGGTGCGACGTCAGGAAGCTCTTGCCAGGAAAGACTCGCCATATTTGATCTTTGATATCCGCAGTGACGATGGTTTCCATGTGCAATCCAGCAATTGGAGTGGTATGTGTAGTTTACAGTTTTAGTGCACATTAAATTCAATGAATCTCAACGTAAAAAAGACTGGTGTTGTAAAGAATGTAGATTCATATTATATTCATACTTTTTACACAAAACTACAACTTTTTATATGTTATTCACATTTGTTTATCTCTCAGATTTATAAAATACAACATTGTTATTATATGAGCAAAGAATATACTTGTGTCTACTTTCGATCTTAGATGCATGGAATGCTGTGTTGGAAAGAGTACAAGATGCCAGGGCCTCAGCCCACATGAAACAGTTATCAATGCAGAGCCTGGACCGTCTAGGGCTCTTTGGTTTGAGCCATGATGCTGTTGTCTACCTCATAGAACAACTGTATGGTGCTAAATACTGCCGCAATTATAAGTTCCTCTATCACCATTATGACCACAAGGATACTTCAGAAATGGAGGTTTGTATAATTCAGTTTTTGGTGGTGACATATTGTTATGGTTTCCAACTTTTTGTGGTTGGTGTTTGGCAGTTGGTGCTCAGCATTTGATGGTTGGAGTTTAGTATTCAGTGTCTGTATCAAATGGCAGGTGGCAACATTTTGCATGTTAATGCCCTGTTTATTATAATCTACTATATTAGTTCATAAAGTACAGTTTGTGTTGTACATTAATATGATATCAATTTGTATTCATAGCAAATAAAACATACTGGGTCTAATGCCATATAACGTTTCCGATCCCTACAGGGTGTGCCATTATTCACTTATAATGTTTGTGTATGTCTGTCTTCCAGGTTGTTGAGGTTGAGAACCCTACAGGGTGTGCCAGGTCATTATTCACTTATAATGTTTGTGTATGTCTGTCTTCCAGGTTGTTGAGGTTGAGAACCCTACAGGGTGTGCCAGGTCATTATTCACTTATAATGTTTGTGTACGTCTGTCTTCCAGGTTGTTGAGGTTGAGAACCCTACAGGGTGTGCCAGGTCATTATTCATTTATAATGTTGTTTGTCTCTCTTCCAGGTTGTTGAGGTTGAGAACCCTACAGGGTGTGCCAGGTCATTATTCAGATATAATGTTTGTGTATGTCTGTCTTCCAGGTTGTTGAGGTTGAGAACCCTACAGGGTGTGCCAGGTCATTATTCACTTATAATGTTTGTGTACGTCTGTCTTCCAGGTTGTTGAGGTTGAGAACCCTACAGGGTGTGCCAGGTCATTATTCATTTATAATGTTGTTTGTCTCTCTTCCAGGTTGTTGAGGTTGAGAACCCTACAGGGTGTGCCAGGTCATTATTCAGATATAATGTTTTTGTATGTCTGTCTTCCAGGTTGTTGAGGTTGAGAACCCTACAGGGTGTGCCAGGTCGGAACCATTCATCTCCAGGAAGCCATTTGAGATGTTTAGTTTCCTCCTGTCAAAGTACAGAATACGACCATCACTGCGTACAGAGGGAGAGAAACAAGTCGAGAAAATGCTACAGACATCACAAAAGTAAATTATTTTCTCGACTTAATAGTTTTTATACATGAGGACAGCCTCTCTAAGTAGGGATATTACATTATTTTTCAAAGTTTTCTGATGACTTTAGAAAATACTCTTAGCTTAGGCTCAGAACTGCAAACAGTGAGTTGCAAAATGCTGTTTTTATTTTGAAATTCTATCTAATGAATATCACAGTTACCATGGAGTAAAACATCTAATCGGAGAAATCATAGATTTTAATGTTTTCTATTGTGTGTGTTACAGACGTGCCACTAGTTTAGATCTTCCAGTGGGTATGAGGTATCGTCATTTGCAACAACATTCCAAAGAAGCTGTAGGGGCATACAGGTTTGTTTCTACCAGTATAACATTATGCATACAAGTTTTATACATTGATATTCAATAATTATCTGCGATATACCCTTCAACGAGTTGGTTTGCACCAAAGATGTGCCATAATAAAGGAACATTGACATTCTTGTAAAATTGCATAATAGACCTCATGTACATGATAAAATAATGCTGATTATTGAACTAAATATGCCTTTCTTTACAGGTCTTCCATTCATGGTAGAGGCCTATACTGTAAGAGAGACATAGATGCTGGTGAGATGGTGATAGAATATGCAGGAGAGGTCATCAGATCCATACTCACAGACAAGCGAGAGGAGTACTATGAAAGCAAGGTATGTAGTTTACAAATGGGCTGTACAGTGTATTTATCCAAAGGTTGACTGATAAAACCATTTTCTGGCACCAGCGAGACCATAGGTCAAGGTTTTCAGTGGAGGAATATGATATTGATATTCCTACAAATGAAGGTGTATAATTGTTGACTTTGTAAAATATGCTCGTGATTATGTCATAGTTATTTATCACTTCTCAAGTGTAACGGTTGCTACATCTTTGGTATTAAATACTATTAACTATAGATTTTTAAAATAATAGGTCGATAAATAAGTTCTGAAAAGTTGTTAAGGATATATTTGTGATTATGTAATACTATATCATAGATATGTAAAATACCAAGGTTGATAAAACTAATCATAGATTTGTAAAATATATTGTTATTCTTCAGGGTATTGGTTGCTACATGTTCCGTATTGACGACTATGATGTCATAGATGCCACCAGGAAGGGGACTGCTGCTAGATTCATCAACCATTCATGTGACCCCAACTGCTACTCTAAAGTCATCAATGTAGATGGAAAGAAACACATTGTCATATTTGCTAGCAGACCGTAAGTATAAAATAATTATCCCATTGGATGAATCTCATAATGCGTTCTCAAGAGATCAGGAATTTCCAATCGTAGACATAATCCTTATATCCTGTCACATTGTGATAATTATGTTAAAATTAATAGTAAATGTGTAATAAAAACTCATATAATGGTTTCAGAATTATGCGTGGTGAAGAATTGACATATGATTACAAATTCCCAATAGAAGATGTCAAAATACCATGCCTGTGTGGCGCCAAGAAATGTAGACATTATCTCAACTGAAATGGCCATATATGGAGAGAAAACTGAACAAGTCTTATTGTCATCTTCATTGAGATGACTCTATCAGACTGGAGTGATGCTATCTCAGATTCACCAAATATGGGATGCAAGGTTTAACAAGTATTGGACTTCATCTCAACTGGCCATATATGGAGTAATCGAGTATGGCAACATTACTAAGACGACCAAATATGGACTGGGAATTAACATAATATCAAGTGTTGCCATGATATGTGGAGCCTGTTGATTAACAGTGAATTCCAGATGATTGTTATTTCAATTGAAGTCTCCATTTGGTTACTATAGTACATATGATCAATATCAATGTACAGTGAAGGATAAGTTGAAAAAAAACTGACCTTTAGATTAAGCTTTAATTTGAACTAAAGAAAGACTTTGAAATCTGATATGACAGTCACTTTAGGTAGGCAGCTTGGAATGAGTAATCTTGAACCTTTTACATGTGTAAAATGTCATCATTTATTCCATTAGGCCTACCTTGAGAAAGCTCTCTACAATATATTTACTGAACGTACTGTACATCAATAGAAATTATTAAGGGGTTGTGGCCAAATTTCAAAGAAAAACAGTTTATGGTTCAATCCCCTTCTCTCCCCCTGTAATGAATCATTTAAATATTGATTAACTGAAATTTTCAGAGCCAAAACATTTTTTACACTAATGAAATCATTGATTATCTCATCCGATCCACCCAATGGAATTAATTCTTAATGTTGACATTTGAACACCAACCCTAAATCACTAAGTAAGCCAAAGAGTTGATATTATGGTTTGCAGACTGCTCAGAAAGTAAGGGCGTATCAGTAATGAGAAATGGGTATAAAAGATAAGAATGCTGAATAATGTAGCTTGAATCAAAGATAGTCTACCTCTGCTAGATACACAAAGACCACGCACAAGCCATAGCCTAATACTAAAGTATAATATCTAAAGCTATTGCACAATTTGACATTGAATGCTTCCTGCTATGCGCACAAAATTCAGCCTTGTGTCGTTAATTACCACCAAACAGCACTTCTTCGGAATTAAGCAGATTGGCATAATGCACTCGCTGACCATTTGAATTCCGTTTATGCTTTAATGTGACCCTTTACTAAGAGTGTTGTACTGTCTGAACAATTTCTTTGCAATACAGTTATGACGGGTATTACAAAATACAACAAAATATGACAAATGCTTAACCCAATACCAAACAGGTGTCTTATATTATAAGGCAGATTTCTACTACACAGATTAATTAAAAACATTTGATAATAAATGCATGAAGAATCTTGCATAAATTCTCCATTGGAGATTTACATGGTAACAAAGAGTTATCCTACCAATGAGGTGCTTAGGAACGTAAAGTTTGCTTTATTTTACACAAGCATTGAAAGAATTTTTTTGTACAGGAATATTGGTAGCTAATATTTTATTTTCTGCAAGTTTTCATTATGTCACCACCATTTTTGTGACTGTCATTTTTTTGTATCAGCATTCTGCATCTGTAACGATTGTTACACTTTTTGTAATTGCATCCAGGTGGTGACATTCTGTCATATTAATGCCTTGTTTTAGCCATGCACTGTGCATTGTTGAGAAATAATGCATGGCCAGCGTACAATCAGATGTATAGAGCTTAATATTATAACATAGTATAGACTGTAAGAATTGAAATACTGAACCAGCAATAATGCAAATACCAAATGCTTATTAAGATAAAATTTGCATGACTTATGTTAGATGTAGATGTTATGTTACATAAATTATGTTAAAATATATTGGTCTCAGGGAAATGTTGACATCTTCACTCTAGTTGGTGCCAATGCCCAATGCATACAGTGGTTGACACCATTAACTAGTAGTTAGTGCCAATGCATACAGTGGTTGACATCATTAACTAGTAGTTAGTGCCAATGCATATACAGTGGTTGCCACCATTAACAGGTAGTTTGTGCCAATGCATACAATGGTTGACACCATTTACTGGTAGTTTGTGCCAATGCATACTATGGTTGACACCATTAACTGGTAGTTTGTGCCAATGCATACAATGGTTGACACCAGTTACTGGTAGTTTGTGCCAATGCATACAATGGTTGACACAATTTACTGGTAGTTAGTACCAGTGCATACAATTGTTGACAAAATTACCTGGTAGTTAGTGCCAGTGCATACAATGGTTGACACCAATTACTTGGTAGTTTGTGCCAATGCATACAATGGTTGACACCAATTACTGGTAGTTTGTGTCAATGCATACAGTGGTTGACACCATTAACATGTAGTTTGTCTCCATGCATAAAATGGTTGACATCATTAACTGATAGTTAGTACCAGTGCATACAATGGTTGACACCAATTACTGGTAGTTTGTGCCAATGCATACATTGGTTGACACCATTAACTGGTAGTTTGTGCCAATGCATACAATGGTTGACACCAATTACTGGTAGTTAGTGCCAATGCTAAATAGTTGACACCAATGTGTCAATGCATAGAAAGATGTCAATGGAATATAATCTTTAAGAATTTGAATTTTGATGCACAAAAATGTATAACTTTTTTGAATATGTGAATTATGAATTATGACTACACTGTTGATTGTGTTGAACAGTTAATGTAAGCGGAGTAGGATGAGTAATCTCGCTAATTTACTTAACCATTTACATTGACTTGCATACTGACATTGAAAGTGTTCCCACGGGACCTACCTTAATATCATAGATAATTGGTGGTTAGTCACCTGACTATTCCTTGATTTTATACCTTTAGGATCAAGTTTCAAACGATATGCATGTTGATCGTATCAGACATTTCTTGAATTTTATTTGTTTTTAATATGTTGTTCCGGTGAGTTTTCATAGTACGGTCATGCAATTCCAATACCAAAACACATGCAATTGTATAATGTGAATAGATTAAGTATATCATTATTGAATCATGACAGGGGAGCACTTGCGCTATCATATTTTCCTTTACTTCCTAAATTTTGATGAATTCTGACATTCCAATCTAGAATTTGAATAATAGTTTACAAATTCAATGTACAAAGAATTAACACAACTTATAAGCTCAAATAAAGTTTTGTAGGAGTATACAATTATTAAGGGACTTCTGTCAGTACTCTTGAAATACTTGTTTCTTAAGGTGCCCAATCATATTTTCAAATGGGATCAACTGTAACCATTGTAATGTGTTCAAAATGTTCAAATTAATGAAATTATTGTACAATCCAAGCCTTCGCTGGATTAATTTAAGGCAGGCTATATCTGAGCCAATTACATGTAGGCTTACAAATTGATGTGATGAATGTATCCTGATCCATAATGAGTCATCCTTGCCCACCTTAATATAATCATAAATCTCAGATGAAGAGATGACATATTTTAATTTTAAAAAACTTATGTGAGTTATGGATCAAGATTTCAGGTACCATGCTCACCCCATCCTAGCTTTAAAGCCTCTTGGTAGTAACATAGTTAATATGAGTGCAAAAGGTATGAGTGAGGTTACGATGTTGCCACTAAACTAAACACATTACAGGCTGGGGTGTGGAAATTACCGAGACGGAGCTTATTTCAACCTTACATTTCACGATGGGCCACATTTTTAAATTTGAAAATAAAGATTTACCTTCTTACAAAAGTCTCATGGTTAAAAACTCTCGCGATTAAAAATGCTAGTCTTCATAGGCCTGCACCATATATGGTCATGTGGTGTGAAGTCTGTTAACTATTGCATGTCAGCATTGTGCTATATGGTGTATAAATTACTATATATTATATAAAAAATATATTTTTCCATACAAATGTGTTCATAATGTACATGTTAAAATAAACATATGCAAGATTTTGTTGAGATTTGACTTGTGCAGTAAAGAGAATGTAAATATCAAGTAATGACAGTCAAATAAATTTTATTGCACACTTTTGTTACAACATAATATAATTATATTGTTTCTGTTTGTTTATATTATAGTGTTAGATGATTGCCAAATATAACATGGAATTTTAGCTCCCTTACTCCACTACAACATCAAATTTCACCTGACCACCTATAACATGGTGATCAATGATTTCAAAGCTACATCCACTGCACTGCAACTCAAACTGAGAACTACTGACAAATCTAGATATTGTACATGTTAAAATAGTGTCCATTTGGTGACAAAGAACCTGAACAGCTTTAAAAATTCTGCTACTGTTTCAATATATATATCTTGAAAATGTTTATTTTCCATTCAACATATGAACAATGGAAACAGAGAAATCTGTCACTGAATGGACACTATTTTAACATGTAAAATAACTAGATTTGTTTTGAAGAGCATGACCAATTGTTCCTCATTTTTTGATGAACGCTTTTATATCATCAATTAGTGTATAAAGTAGAGTCAGATATACATGTTGCAAGAAACTTCTCCCCAAAAATGATTCAATTTTAGAATATTTTTAAATCTTTAATACCATCCCCATTTGTTAAGATACCCTATATCTTTTGGGAAACAATACAAGATGGTAGATTATACAAGTGTAGATTTAATGCCTGGGTCACATATGCTCCGATCCATCGGCCAGCGCCTGGCTGATTGAGTCACAGGCTGGTATCGAAAAAATTGTCCGCTGTGACGGAGCGTGCTATTTTGCATAGAAACACTAAGAAATCCACACAATTTATTTTTTTACTCATATGTTTTGCTATATCAAAGAAAATTACTGACTCCATGCAATGAATATATCATTTGCGGGTAACTTTAACTTATGTTTGAAGTCCAACAATGCTAACAGTAAAAGCTATTGAAAACGGCGTCGGAGTATCATACTCCAAAATGTACCATGTCTTTTATTTCTTTTTAATGGTACAATATAGCGACACGATAATATTTACATATGTTTTCAGCATAAATCTGAAGGTATTAATGAGATCGTTATGTATTGGGTATTTCTAATTTTTTTTATAAAAAATAATGTTTAAATTTTTTGTCCGCTGTGACGGAGCAGTTTCAAATCTGAAATACGTTAAGAATTTAGATTTATAATATATCTCTTTATAACTACACGTTAGAGGAGGGAGCGTATCAAATCTCTTTCATAAAGTATTCTGAAAAATAAAACGGAATAAAAGTACACAATTCAAATTCTGAGATGTATATACGACCACTCTTTAAGCTTCTTTTCTCAGTTTGTACTGTAATCCAAGTTATGCATGGTAACTCATGAAAATGATAGTCAACTTTATTTCAGTATAGGGTATTTGCCTTTTGTTGTGCCTACTGTGGATCCACCACCTGACATGGTCATTTTTTATGGTAACTTATATACAGTAATATTATGTGGTAAAAGGTTATACATCTGTCGAAATGCAGGATGTCTGTGCGCTTTTTCGAATAAATAATTCATATTAGCCCTATTTATGTTACGCGGTACGGTAAACACGATACAAAAATATGCCATATTCCGCAACGAATATGCCATATTCACTTGCAGTGTATGACAGATTCACCTGCGGTATATGGCATACACACTAACCAATGAGAACGTGATACGGAAGTATGCAATTGTCAATTGCATCGATTGAACGAACAAGTAAAACTTTATAAATTATTATAATGATTACTGAATCAACAGTACAGTTTAAGGAATACATCAACGTATGCAGAACTATCACTCGCCAATCTCACGTAATAAACTTTCCCAATCAATCCAGGATTCATATATTAGTACTCGACGCACTGACAGTATTGGTAATCCAGGGTAGTTTTACATACAGAGTCGATTCTCGCAACCAATCAAACCAAGTCTTTCTGTATCACGTTTTTCAACTGCGGAATATGTCATATTCACCTGCTGTATACGGCATATTCCGCAAGTGAGTATGACATATTCTGAAGGTGAGTATCGGGTATTCACTGAATTCAATGCATCACATATACACTGCGGAATATCGCATACTCACCTGCAGAATATGCCATATACTGCAGGTGAGTATGGCATATTCACCCGTATCACAAATACCACGCAACCATGAATGTATGCCATATTCCGCGTAACAATTTACACTACACGTGACATTCCAAGACGTCTTGGCGAAAACGTATTAGAAATATTATGTTAAGTTTACACCATGTTGATTTCAGTACAAACCTCCGAAAAATGCTAAGAGTGGTCGTTTTTATATCTCAGATTTACATTACCCCAGATCTCCCAGAGGCTACTTGTCATAATTAAGGAAAGTGATTTGTGACGTTCTCTCTTGTAAGGGTACTTTTAAAAGGTATAATTTGAATCTTAAATTCTTAACGTAGTTCACAGTTAAAACTGCTCCGTCACAGCTGACAAAAAATGTAAACATTATTTTTTATAAAAAATATTAAAAATACCCAATACATCAAGATATCATTAATACCTTCAGAGTTATGCTGAAAACATATGTAAATATTATCGTGTCACTATATTGTACCATTAAAAAGAAATGAACGAAATGGTACATTTTGGAGTATGATACCCCGGCGCCGTTTCCAATAGCTTTTACTCTTAGCGTTGTTGGACTTCAAACAAAAGTTAAAGTTATGATATACCCATTGCATGGAGTAAGAAA